CTGCCGACAACCAGTATCGCAGCGCAATTTGCGATACATATTTTGTCCGTTGCTAATCAAAAATTAAAATCTAACGTTTTTGATTCGCAGTAACTGCGAATCATTAATATGCCTGTCATTTTGGATATTGCCACAAAGATTTATCCACATTTCTCAAGACTTTCAACGTGTATAAAATATCAAATAAATTTTATAAACAAAACGGAATTCTCCGTGTGACATTTTCTTCTCAAACTACCCAGACTCAATTCATGATACTATATAATACAGGGACATAACTCTATGAATCGAGACTATTAAACCGGAAATAGGGAATCAAGTAGTACCACTCACGTTGCGAGACATGTCAATTTCGAGTAATTATATCAGTATTCAATTTGAAAAAAAATAAATTCAGTGTATCCTCCACGTATTGTAAATAAAATATAAAAAATAAATACGTGTAAACGTATTGTAAAGTGAGAAATCAAAGTAAGAATTCCCGTAAACTATTATTGTTTATATCGCGTGCGTCTAGTTAATCGAGATTATTCGTAAAATACCGCGTGCTTCCGATTGAACAAAAATAATAACACACGATAAAAAGCAGACGAAATTGTTTTCAAACGAAGAAATAAGAAGCCACTGCCAAGAATTGGCTTCAGACATAAGGCCTAACAAAAGTCTACATTCATTCAGAAATGTTCACAGCTAGCTGTAGAAGTGCTAAAATTCTAAAAAAATCTTAAGAATGAAATCTAATCATTTGCTATCAATTAAAATTAAAATAATCTTGTTATTTAGGTGTTTTATGTTGATTTGAAACAGAAAAACTGCTAATCAATTTTTAAATTTGCTAATCAACTTTGGCAAAATTGGGCTTTTTGATTAGCAGTGCTGCTAATCATCTGTGAAAAATTACCGACAGCCCTGATAACCAGTGGCTGCCATTTTGCAAGAGATGGATAGAGAACAAGCTAAAAACAAAAACGATTTTTTGTACAATCAGGGGCCACAATCCAGAAAGTTATGGTCTGAAATTCAGTGAAATCTGCAAATATCAAAAGGAACTGAGATTTTTGGAATATAAAGATATGTTTTAAGTTTCATCAAAATCGGATAAAAATTGTGACCTCTAAAGGGTCCATAACCTTTGTATTACATACTTATACACAATTCGCGTACAAAGAGCGGCCATTTTGTCGGGCAGTTTCATTTCGATTTTCCCGAAATTCGAATTCAACCTTCATTATGGTGGAATGGTGATATATTAAAACGGTTTTTAAAATCGGAAAACAAATAGTGACCTCTAGAGAATCACAAGCTAACCAGCGGCTGCCAGGCAGGATACGCCCACATTTTCGAGAGATGAATAAAGAACAAGCTAAAAAGAAAGAGATTTTTTCTACAATCAAGGGCCATAATTCAGGAAATTACAATTCAATATGCGCAAATATCGAAAGGAACCGAAATCTTTGGGTTATAAACTTACATTTCAAGTTTCAACAAAATCGGATAAAAATTGTGACCTCTATAGGGTACACAACCTTGATATACCAGATGTTTACGCTATTTGCGTGATATACCAGATGTTTACGCTATGTAATGGTGATATACTAAAACGTTTCTTTAATACGTTTGATATACCAGATGTTTACGCTATTTGCGTGATATACCAGATGTTTACGCTATGTAACGGTGATATACTAAAACGTTTCTTTAAATCGGATAAAAATTGTGACCTCTAGAGGGGCCACAAGCTAAAAGTGATTTTTTCGTACAATCAAGGGCCATAATTCAGGAAGGTAGGATCCGATATGCACGAATATCGAAAGAAACTAAGATCTTTGGGACATAAACATGCATTCCAAGTTTCATAAAAATCGGATGAAAATTGTGACCTCTAGAGGGTCCACAAGCTAAAAATGTGATTTTTCGTACAATCAGGGGCCATAATTCAGGAAGTTACGATCCGATATGGGTTATAAACATGCATTTCAAGTTTCATTAACATCGGATCAAAATTGTGACCTCTAGAGTGTCCATAAGCTAAAAACGTGATTTTTCGTACAATCAGGGGCCATAAGCCATGAAGTTATGGTCCGATACATGCCAATATTGAAAGGAAACGAGATCTTTGGGGAAAGACCTATACTTCAAGTTTCTTCAAAGTCAAATAAAAATTGTGACCTGTAGAGTGTCCACAAACAAATTGTGGACGGGCAGGGGTGACAACAATAAAAAACCTTTCCAACACATTTAATTTTTTTTTTGTCTCGTACTTTGGTCATGGCTATGACCACGGGAACTGGTAGTGGTAGAGGTGCAAAAGTGCAATACCGTTACGAATACCGCTTTTGAAAAGAACAATCTGTTAGCTTTTCAAATTTACCACACTTGATTCACCAAATTGGTTATTTCAATCATGGCCATGAGAACAATTAAGAAGTTTGTTCATACGCGACGAAAATACTAACTAGGCTTAGCCATAAAAGGTCCACCCTATCATGGCCTAGCCTAAAAATAGCAATGCAAAAGCTGATACCATTTTTATCAATGTCAAAAAGACTGACCGTAAAATGTGTCGTTTTTGTTCTGCGACTTCGGGAAGTTGTATGAACACCAATATCGACGACTTTGCACTTTTTGTGTTGAGACGAAAACAGAGTTTGTGTCGAGAGAGTGGTTTGGACATTCAGAAACATATTTACAACTTATTTCTTATATTTTGAAAAAATAAAACTATCAGGAAAAGGCAAAAACGGTGCTCGCTACTGAAATTAAAGACCACTTAAGATCAAAAATCTAAATTGCATGTATGTATAGCCCATGGTTACTATATCAACTTTACGACAAGTTCACACCAATCTGATTAAAAGTAAGTCCGCTGTTAACGTTTAAGTATCCGACACGCCAAAACGCTTTTCGATTTTTCAATTACAACCTTAATCCGGTTGATTGGCTGGTGACGTCACAGGCACTACACATAGGATATACATTATCTATACAATATCTCACTGTCTGTACAATATAGCACTATCAATACACACGGCAACTGGACAAGCGTCTATTGACGGTCTAATTACCATGTGACTGGCCTAATCATAATAACCAAATTATCGTCTTTCATTGGTATAGTTTAGACATTTGTGATTGGAATATTTTAGAGTGAATTTAAAATGCTGTATCATGCCGTAGATCAATTTAAGCTGCCTTTGTTTAAATAGGCCACGTGTCAAATGAAGATGACTCAAGAAATTAGTGCATTTACCGGTAATTTGGATAACCCCGTAATACTTGATATCCCAAACTTAAGTACAGAAATACAAATGGTGCCAGTCATGTGTCGATATATTCATTATTAGCTATATATAATAATAATAACCATTTCTATACATAAAGAACAACTACAGTGAATATGGAATTTTCCGATGACTCTGCATAACATGTACAATAGATCGCACTCATTTCTCTGCCAATCAATGCTTGGTATCTTATTATCATGTACCGTTCCATGTACTACGGGTGTAGTAAATGAGGTTAATCTTCGCCGCGAAAACTGCACGGGATCATTCGTGGAGTTAAACTGTCAATGCAATTGTAAAATACTTTTATTATAAAGAAGATAACCGATGTTAGACATTATAACCTAATTGTATCAAAAACGTTAATCCATCCATTAATTAAATGTTGTTTAAACGCCAATGAACAAATAATACGAGGCTACTTGATTACAAAAACAACGGTGAGCAATAATTATTAGGTATATAGTAATTTTAAACAACTTATTAGTAAAATTTAATTATTTTATACAATTAATGTGTGTGTGTGTGATTCTACCATTAGTTCGTGCGTGAGGTATTACGCACACGTTCCACTTAAGAGTGATGTCTTTGATCTGGCCGGCGTAAAAAGAGATAATCACCTAATCAACATTCTTAATCCCACTAACACTCACTGCTAACACCAACGTGTAAATTAATTTATAACCCATGCCTGTATAACTTTTATAGTCGGATTGATTAATTATTGACAGATATTAACGACACTACACTTTATGTGGAAAAGCGAAGTGCTCGCAGTAAAAAACACATACCTGGACCCGTATATTATTTACATATTAAAAGTTTTCGTCCAATAAGTTCCATATTATAAAAAATTAGTTAAGAGTTCAAGACTTCAAAGTTTGAAAGTTGTAGGCACTCTAAATTGGATCTTAAATTAAAATGAATTACAAAACAAATTATTCCGTAGTCAATTGTTTTATTTAATTAGGGGGATTAAGGAATCCTTCAGGCGGTAAAGAATACACACGCCGGCTGTATATAGGTAATTAAGGAATAAACATTCCGAATATGCATTCGGTCACTGTGATGTCACTGGCGTATGAGGGGATTAAGAGTGTTTTCGATAATTGGCAAAGTCGTTTTTACGGAAGATCTATTTTTACGACTTTGAGTGAAAATAACTGAATTAATTTCAACCAGATTGACGTGAACTTGACGTAAAGTGGATATAGTAACCATTGGCTACACGTATCTCAAAGTTTCCGGGCCCGTCTTATGTGCACTTTAAACAAATTTTCTGATAGAAAGACCCCTAGTGTAAGGAAACAAATTATATAGCCCAAATTTAAAAATTCCAATAAATAGTTAATGGTTGGATGGATGTTTCCTGAAAATTAGAATGATGCCTATATCTTCAATGGTTGCTGAGAAATTGTCTTCGGTCACTTTTTCCGCAAATTTTAATTTAAAAAAAAAGTGTAGGCTATAGCATAGCCTATAAATAATGCCTACTGATATCGATCAATTTTGGGTCATAAAAGTACCATAACATTCTTATTTCTTAATCGATTTAGAATTCATTTTGGGTTTCTTAAATGGGAGAGGGGTTAGTAAATATTCAATTTTAGTCAGATTCAATAATTTAAAAAAGCTTTTGCATTGCTACTAAAACTAAAAGTAAAAAACAATAGCTTCGGTACGAACGACATACGAGTAAATAACTTCTTTGTTTACCTGATATGCCTCCAATTGATCATCAGTAAATGTTGTGACTTTATTTCCCATGTCTAAACGTTAGCTAGCTTTTGTATTTTTTGTTTAAAATTATTTATTTTGTATCAATCTAGATGAATGAACAAAGCCTTTCAGAAGCCATTTGTAATTTTACGACTTATTTGTTTACATCATAAAACAAAAGTCGCAAAGTCTAATAGTATGTCGTAAAATTATAGCCCCCGTTACCCAGACCATCTCTTATCCGTATCCAGATACCAATCAGCCACCATAAGGACACAGATCACCAAATATTCCTACGCCGTCCTACGCCGTCCCCCAAACAAGGGCCAAAGCTATTTTTAGTCTTCCTCTCCCTTTTCCTTTTTCCCCCTTTTGCATGGCGATTTTTGTTGACTTTTTGGTGTAGAATTGAGGAAAAGGGTTTAAAATACATTTTCTGCCAGGTTTTGGTGAATATTCATAATTTTGATGCGGAAGGATACAAGAGTTGAGAGGTTGGTTACGTTGAAATGTAGGGCCTGAAATTGCATGTTTACTTGTCTCTACTTCCAGCTTGTGTATCTCAAGTTTTTCATGAAGAACCTCATACGTGCTTTTGGGCAAGTGGTTGCCACATGTTGCTCCATCTGTGGTAGAAAGCGTTCTACCCAACAAAAATTTGGGAAAAAGTTAGAGCCGGTCTAAGATACGAGAATTAACATTGGAGTCAATGGGGAAATCTTTAGTGATCTGTGTCCATACTGATCAGTAGACTGGACAAACGATTGGATGCCTTTAGTTCCAAGTGGCAAACTCAATTTCTTTATTAATGCATGTAACATCTTTAAAATAGATAAGTTTATGATATTATGATTAAATTAAACTTACAGAGGCCAATGTAGTGGCACAACTGTCGCCTAACTCCAAATATTCGCGTTTAAATTAATGAAGCGTTGTTTCTGTCTGACATTTCACCGCCATCGAAATCCATTCATAGTTACTGTGCTTTCGATTGTCCTTTTGATTGGCTGTTATAAAAGCCTTATATTTAGCCCCGCCTTCATGATGACAGCGTATCGTTTAAAAAGATGGCGGTCTTAGTAACGGCTTAACGCCTCGATTTTAAAAACGACGATTTGTACCCGTTTCAGGTAGCATTATATGCTTAATTGTAGTTGGGTGTTGTAGAAATATTATAAATAACAATAATCAATCGTTGTTTTGATTAAAACTATTGTCAATTTTGTTTAAAAATGCCGGGTGTGAATCGCTCCCGGAGCTGCAACGTTATTTATAGGTAATGGGCTCATGTCTTATCTCGAAACATGGGGGGTTGAGAGCATAGATATCATGTCTTTATAGGATATATATGGTTGAGAGATTAAGGTTTGTTATCTACAGTGATACCTCTACCCACACTGATCCGCAGTGAATATTCGCTTAGCCGCTACAATCACTGATAAGGATGACATCGATGCGACAAAATATTAACTTTTTTCTTTCGACAAATTAAATTCTGAAACATTTTTTTTTAGTATTAGAAAAATAAATAAAGGTGTTTGAAGTATATCTTGATAAAAAATATTCCATAATTAGCGTAAATAGGTACAGAAAATAGTACGCGGAGGCGTAAAATGGGTAAAACGATATAATTCTGTCCGTACCAGTTCATATTACTACGTTCGATGTAAACAACGCACGCGTGACCATCAATTTGACGTTTTTTTGTCCCCCGCCTTTCGAAGAAAGCAGGGGACTATTAAAATGGGTTCGTCCGTCTGTCTGTCCGTCTGTCTGTCCGTCACACTTTTTGGGACACAATAACTCTCTTCCTAATTGAGCTAGAATGTTCAAACTTGGTGTATGTGTTTATTAGGTCAATGCCTTGATGGAGTTCGAAGATGAGCATTTTCCGCTTAGGGTAAGCAGAGATAAGCAATTTGATTGGTTGATGCTTTGGGACACGATAACTCTCTTCCTAATTGGGCTAGAATGTTCAAACTTGGTGTATGTGTTGATTAGGTCAATGCCTTGATGGAGTTCGAAGATGAGCATTTTCCGCTTAGGGTAAGCAGAGATAAGCAATTTGATTGGTTGATGCTTTGGGACACGATAACTTTTAATTGAGCTAGAATGTTCAAACTTGGTGTATGTGTTTATTAGGTCAATGCCTTGATGGAGTTCGAAGATGAGCATTTTCCGCTTAGGCTAAGCAGAGATAAGCAATTTGATTGGTTGATACTTTGGGGCACGATAACTCTCTTCCTAATTGAGCTAGAATGTTCAAACTTGGTGTATGTGTTGATTAGGTCAATGCCTTGATGGAGTTCGAAGATGAGCATTTTCCGCTTAGGGTAAGCAGAGATAAGCAATTTGATTGGTTGATGCTTTGGGACACGATAACTTTAGTTCTAATTAAGTGAGATTGATGAAACTTGGTGTATAGTTTCATTACAGTAATACCTTGACTAAGTTTGATAATGAGCATTTTCTGCTCAGGGTAAGCAGCAATTTGATTGGTTGATACTTTGGGGCACGATAACTCTCTTCCTAATTGAGCTAGAATGTTCAAACTTGGTGTATGTGTTGATTAGGTCAATGCCTTGATGGAGTTCGAAGATGAGCATTTTCCGCTTAGGGTAAGCAGAGATAAGCAATTTGATTGGTTGATGCTTTGGGACACGATAACTTTAGTTCTAATTAAGTGAGATTGATGAAACTTGGTGTATAGTTTCATTACAGTAATACCTTGACTAAGTTTGATAATGAGCATTTTCTGCTCAGGGTAAGCAGAGCGATACGCAATTTGATTGGTCGAGACTTTGGAAAACAATAACTCTCCTACTTTGATTGTTAGACTATAAGTAAAGATATACTGTTTGATTGTTCAATACTTTGTAAAAGATAATTTGTGATAAATTTATATGTGTCCTCTAATTATTTTCCTATTTCGGCGGGGGACATCAGCCTCACTGTTGGCTTGTTCTGTTTGTTTACTCTGAATTCTTTCAGAAGTACATTTTTTACCGTCTAATCTGATTGACCTGCTCGTGTTTGTTTTAAAACAACAAAAACAAGCCACAGAAGTAATCTTTTTTGGCGTTATCGATGCCATCTTGCTTTGTTGGTAAACATTGTGATGTGACGTCACCCTTAGAACTACAGCGGTCTGACCTTTTAAAGGTCAGTCATCTTGGACAGAGATAAAAGACGGATGTCGCATTAGGTCTGTAAAACAGATTGACCTCTACCATGGTAACTAAAACGCTATAGCCTGTGGACATTAATTACAATTCATATGATCAATTTAAAGTGTAAAACATTGGTATTCCCACACTGATCAGCAGTGAATATTCGCTAGGCCACTACAATCACTGATAAGGATGACATCGTTGCGACCTAAAACATTTTTTTTTTTTTTTGTGAATTAGAAAAATAAATAGGCTAAAGACGTTTGTAGGTAAAAATCATTTCCATTTTGTGTAAATTGGTATTAAAATGAGTAAAAGGCACCATTCTGCCCGAACCAGTAATGTCTTATGTAAACAATGCACGCGTCATTGAGTCAATGATTGACGCCGTGTGATGTGACGTCACGTGTTAAATGCAGTCTACTACATCGTTAACACATTTCATCGCGTGCATTTTGCATACCGATAGTTCATTGGCCAATCACGCTATTTTACCGACATTTCGCCTAATAGTTTGGATGCAGCTATGGCGGGTGTGGCGCCAGGCAGGGTAAGCTTACTCTTCCGGACACCTGTTACCACTGTTTGTCGTGTATTTCGTACACGAGGAGCAGTCCATTTGCTGATTACACTATTTAGCTCGAATACACTATTTTGCCAATAACGTTTTTTAGGACTTCGAATTCTGTCTTATGGTTTGGATTGTTCTTACTTGGTTTTATTTTCTTTTTATTACATAGATATATGACGATATACTGGTAAGCGTTGACGATCATAGAACTGTACTAGAAAGGAAGTCCGACTGGTCGTTTATGTTATCTCGAAATTAAAAACACCACTGACAGTGACAATTACGCTTCCTACTTGGATCTGCGTCTCGATTTTGACAATTGCAATAAACTGAGTGTTAAATTGTACGATAAACGTGATGACTTTGACTTTCCGATTGTTAACTTTCCATTTATTAGTAGTAACATTCCAATATCACCAGCTTATGGAGTGTTTGTATCTCAGCTAATTCGTTACGCGAGAGCTTGTTCCTTTTATTCTGATTTTTTAAGTAGATCGAGGCATTTGTCATCTAAGCTTCAACTACAAGGATACTTGCGCACTAAACTTATTAAAACCTTTAAAAAGTTTTATGGTCGTCATATTGATTTGATTGGTAAATATAACGTGTCTCTCTCGGCTATTATTCTAGATATATTTAATTGACACGTATACTATTACTATCTCCCTGATAATGTCTACTACATCGTTAACACATTTCATCGCGTGCATTTTGCATACCGATAGTTCATTGGCCAATCACGCTATTTTACCGACATTTCGCCTAATAGTTTGGATGCAGCTATGGCGGGTGTGGCGCCAGGCAGGGTAAGCTTACTCTTCCGGACACCTGTTACCACTGTTTATCGTGTATTTTGAACACGGTGAGCAGTCCATTTGCTGATTACACTATTTTGCCTGATTACACTATTTTGCCTATACCGTTTGTTTTCGGAACACAACCTGTGTATGCTGTCATTGATAGTCCATTGGCCAATCACGCTATTTTACCGAGATTTCGCCTAATAGTTTGGATGCAGCTATGGCGGGTGTGGCGCCAGGCAGGGTAAGCTTACTCTTCCGGACACCTGTTACCACTGTTTGTCGTGTATTTTGTACACGAGGAGCAGTCCATTTGCTGATTACACTATTTAGCTCGAATACACTATTTTGCCTATAACGTTTTTTAGGACTTCGAATTCTGTCTTATGGTCTGGATTGTTCGTATTTGGTTTTATTTTATTTATATATATATACCATAGAACTGTACTATTATAACCGTTAGGTTCTTCAATAACTAATAAGTCTGGAATTGTTCTTCAATCTTTTAATTACTGGAACTTATCTCTTACAAATGACAATAATTCAATACATACAATGTACACTTACAGCACATTGGATGACCGACGTAGCTGCAACTAAGTCGGATGACCTAATGACTACCTATTGATGTACATTAACCTTTTTATATTCCAACTATAAATGGATAAGCTCAAGTGTTGACACCAAAACATAC